TGGTACAACTAAGCCTGGAGGACAGCACATCTGCTTATAGCATGGTTTACTGAATATTATAAGTCCACTCTTGAGACCTGCTGGTCAGAAAAAAAGTGCTAATGGAAATGTGCCAGGAGATTAATGTCGTTTTCTTGTCTGCTCACATAATATCCGTTCTGCAGCTCATGGATCAAGGAGTAATTTTGACTTTCAAGTCTTATTTAAGAAATACGTTCCATAGCTACGGCAGATAGTGACTGCTCTGATGGATGTTGGCAAAATAAATCGAAAACTTTCTGGACAGGATTTACCACTCTAGATGTCACTGAGAATGTTAACAGGAAAAAAAAGAAAAAAGATTTGAGCTTTGGAAAAAGGAGAGCTTTATTTCTTATAAAGAGTAGTAGCCTGTTGGGTGGGTGTTCCAAAAGGCTGGAAAGACGTGCCCCAGCCAGAAGTCAGGCACAAATGCTTAAAGGACAGACAGGAGGAATAAAATTTTATACTGAGCAGAGTGGTCACATTACATATTTAACAGGTTATAGGAAGAGTCATGAATATTTATGAAAAAGGGAAATCACACGCTTTGTAATTGTGCTGTACTTTTCCCATCTCACATGGACGGGAACTCTTGTTTTAAGGTGTTTCTGGTGTCCTGACTGAGAAGGGTCTACTCAGTTAGCAGAGGGCTTAGGATTTTGTTTTTAGTTCACAAGAACATTTCTGATTCATGGTAGGAAGATAAAATATCAACATTAACAGGAGTTTGGAAAAAGTTAATGCCAACCTTCATGGATGAGTTTGAGGAGTTCAAGACATCAGTGGATCCAATACTGTAAATGTACTGGAAATAGCAAGAGAGCTGGCATTTGAAGGAACCTGGAGATGTGACCGAGTTGTTGCACTTTCACATCAACAGATCAGGAATCAATCTCTTCTTATGGAGGGTCACAGAAAGTGATTTCTTGAAATAGAATCTACCCTTCGTGAAAATGCTGTGAACATTGTTGAAGTGATGACAAAGGGTTTGGAATATTACACAAACTTAGTTGAGATACTAGTGGCAATGTTTGAGAAGATTGACTTCAATTTGGAAAAAGTTCTATTGTGAGTAAAATGCTATCAAACAATATCACGTGCTATAGAGAAATCTTTTGTGAAAGGACAAGTCGATTGATAAAGGTAAATTTAATTGTTGTCTTATTTTAAGAACTTAAGATTTTGGCCATGGGCACCAAAATCTTCAGCAGCCACCTCTCTGATTGGTCAGCAACCATCAGCATAAAGGCAGGACCCTCCACCAGCAAAACATTACAACTTGCTAAAAGCTAAGATGATCCTTAGAATTTTTTAGCAATCAATTATTTTTTTAATTAGGTTTGTGTATTTTTGTACATAATGCTATTGCATACTTAAACTACAGTACAGTGTAAGCATACCTTGTATATGCCCTGAGAAACAAAAATATTTGTGTGAGTTGATTTATTGCAAATATTTGCTTCATTGCAGTAGTCTTTAAGGAAACCTACAATTTCTTTGTGGTACATATATGTGAATTTGAATGTCCCTCATACAAGAGGTATGCTTTTCAGAAAAGCAAAACAGGAGTACAGTGGCCCATGCCTGTAATCCTGCCACTCTTGAGAGGCAGAGCTGAGAGGATCCTTTGAGCTCAGGAGTTTGAAACCAGCCTGAGCAAGAATAAGACACTGTTTCTACTAAAAATAGAAAAAAAAAAAATTAGACAAGTGTTGTGGTGGGCGGCTGTAGTCCCACTACTCTGGAGGCTGAGACAGGAGGATCACCTGAACCCAGGAGTTTGAGGTTGCTATGAGCTAGGCTGATACCAGGACATCATAGCCTGGGTGACAAGAGTGAGATGCTCTCAAAAACAAACAAACAAACAGAAAAACCCTAAACAAAGAAAAAAGCAAAATAATGGAAGTACATTGTTAAAGATCTGAAAAGTGATGCTTTCCTGGAGTACACTCTCCCAAATTGATTCCTCAGTATATTAAAGTCTCTGGTATTTTCCGGTGTTGTTTCTGGAGAAACATTTAGAGTACTTACACATCAGTCCCTTGAGAGGTCAGTATTTCGAGAAGTATTGAAGTCCTGGACCATCGTGGACCATTTATTTCAAAGTCTCAATGGAGAGACTAAGCATGGAGTTTAGCCCCTGCATCAGATGTTCTTTAGAATACCTCAGGTGAAACCGTGGTTAAGACTGAGAAATTTCACTGAACATTTTCAGGTTCTCCCAGCCAGCGTTTCCCATTCTGCAGACTCGGACACATATGCTGCCTAACCTTCTTACCCAGCAACGCAGAGAAAGCTGCCTGTGTCTTTTACGTCTGTGGCTGCTGCTTCCCCTGGAGGCTCAAACACAGAGTGCCATGTCTATTTCTTACACTTTTACCAGAGCTGTGAGGATTTTCTATATGGTTGGTGCAAAATAAATGTCTTTCACAATGATGAGAGTAAATACAATGTGTGCATCACAGTCATTGGGCCAGTAAATTAAGTTGAACATAACTTACTGGCCCAAACTTTTAAACTTT